GATTGTGGTGTCTCAAACTGCACCTTATATGGAGCTCTTGAGGGATCAGAATCATGGCACATGGGAGCCATATGTTCAGCACTTGCCATCATTTATTGGGAACTGAGTTCAGGGCTAAAAACTGATTTAAACATCCATATTTAGAGCTCCTAAGCACAAAATAAGGCACAAATTCTCACAAAAGTTGAAGACAGAAGAGAAAAAGCTGTGACCCAACATAGAAGTGGTTTTAAAAAAGAAGGGAATAAGCTGGGGGAAGGAAGGAAAGAAGGAAAAATTTGGTTTCTTTGAGTGCCAAGTGCCTGCCCTGGGAATGCAGATCCCTGGCTAAGGGCTGCAGTGGGAAGGCCTGACAAGGCTGGTGGATGTGGAGGCCTGAAGGTTTATTGGGAACGATGTGCTCCCTCTGGATCCATCAAAGGTCAGAGGAGAAGGAATCTCTGCAGTGTGAGGAAAGGGGGATTGCTCTTTCCATCCTCACCTCATCCTACAAAGGTGCAGATTTGCCTGTGATATCCACACACATGGTGGAGAACAAAGTGACACAGCCTTTGGCAAAGCTTTCAAGTTTTGTGTATGTGTCTGCATAATTTCATTAACTGGGTGTCCCACATGAACAGAAAATGTGCAGTTGTGTGTTCCTGATCTTGAGGCTTATTTCAATAAATCTAGAAACTGCACAAAACCCGAGGCAGCTGTGCTGAGAAGTTCTCTGTGTTCCTCACAGCCCTGTGCTCATTTGCTCATACCCTTACTCGTGCTGTGACCTTGGCTGGATGGGTTTTTTGTCCAGGAAGAGTCACTGACCTGACCTTGGATCTGCCACCCCTGGCAGGGTTAGGGTGTGTTGGCAGGAGAACATTCCCTGTTAATGGCTGTGCCTCACCTTTGAGTGGACACTGGACATTGGTTCCTGCCACTGTTAATTGACCCTTTTGATGTGCATGAATTTGTGTTATGAAAGAACTTATAGTGGATTATTCTTTTGCATAATAGACATTTTGCTGGTTAAAAAAGAAAAAATCCCCAGCAAAAACTCCATTGCATATGAATGTTTTCACTGTGTTAGCAATTTTTGTATCTTATTGGCAATGTTCTAAAGCACTGAAGATCGAGACTGCTCAGTTCCCTAGAGATCCTTGTAATTACAACAAAGACTGCTGGAGCATGAAAAAAGTCATTTGGCAAAATGGTTCTCTTGGCTTCCTCTGTCTCATCCTCCCCTCTCTCTGACTTCCAAGTCCTCTTTGCTCAGTTTACTAGACAAACACATTGTTTGCTGTTCACCAGGGCAGATGTTTGTTTAATTCAGCACCTTCTGCTTCTTTCCCCAGCTGGAGGAAAGTCATACTGTTCACTCTTTTCTTTTCTCTTTACAAGACCTTTCCCCTGGCAGCCAAGGTGCAGAAAAGAAGGACAATGGTGCAGCTCATGACAAGTGTTCCAGCATTTCTAGGAGCTTAAGCACCATCTCCTGTATTCTATAAATGGCACATGACAAAACACAGAGAACACCTCACTGGGTTGTCTCACTGTGCAAGGAGGTAATATCCAGCCACTGAATATTTAATGTAGAGAACAAACCCTCTTCTTTTTGAAAAACCATGAAATCTCAACGTGAACTGACTCAGGCTCTGATCCAGCTGAGTTCTGCTGGAACAACCCTGCTCTGGAGAAATGTTGCTGCTTGAGAGAACGTTTGCCTTGTAGTCTGCACTGTGGTGCAGGGTCAGGCAGCAGAAAGTCTACATAAAACATGTATCTCTTTGGCGCTGATATGAGGGCTTAAGAGGGCATATAACTCACTAGATGCTGAGGTGTTGAGGCTCATCCATGTTCCAAATAAACCCTTGCCACTGAAATGTGTGTTCCAAGAGTCTCAAGAAGAATTTGGATTTATTCCCGCCCCTTCATTCCTGCCTTACATCCATTCCTGTGTGTGGCTGACACAGTGCTTTTTCCTTCCTTGCAGATTTCCTCACAAATTTTTGGTTTTGTGCATATCTTCTCCACTTCTTGCCTTACTCATGCATCTGATTTCTCTAAAGCTCTCTATGTTCCATCCACAAAGGATGGCTCCACATTCCAAGCACCAGGTTAGAGAACTTTGAATGGATTCATCGTAACAGAAGGATGAGCAGATATCCTTCTTTTACTTTAACAAACAAAATAGTGCCACTTTTCCTGATCAGCTTGTGCATTTTCAACAAGTCCAGAGATAATTACCAGATTTATATATATGTAACTATCAATGCAGAGCTGGGCTTTTATCTACATGCTGTATGTTTCTGTAAATAAAGAAGTGCTGTAATTGTCATCAGAACTATTTGTTGCAATTTGAATGCTTATAAATAGGGAATAGACAATGCAGGTTATTTGTTACAGACTGGAAAAGCTGTATATTGGCTTGTTACCCCTTGCAGAAGCCAGCCAGAAACGGAGGTTTTGCAGTACTTGGTCCTGAGTGAGTCCTGTAGGGCAGAGCCTGTGATTACATCCCACAGCCCTGCAGGTTTTCCTGATAATGCTGCTGTATTTATTCCTGCTGTGCTGGAAACTAGCAGACCTATTGGAAACTTTAGCAAACCTTGCTGTGAGTTTCACATTTCTGTTTTACTGCAAAGCCCTTCACTTTTCTAGGATACATTCTCAGATAAGCCAACAGAAGAAGGAAATATGTGAGCATATTATTTTTTTATCTGAAGATATCACTCTAGATTTAGCTCTGTTTCTGATCCATTGGAAAAATTCTGCATTATCAAACATTTTCTTGCAACAAATAGTCCTAATTCACAGAATTCTCTTATTAGCTTCATGTGACATCTTTTTGCGCAACTGAAATAAACTTTCTTAAAAAAGAAAAAAAAAGCCCAAAAATTACCCAATGAAAGAGATTCCATAGTTTTTATAATACTGAAAGCTTTTGGGGACAAAGAAGTGGTACCAGTATGACTTGGAACTGAATTTGGCTCAACCTTCTCCAGAAGAATGAATCACAGCCTTGTATATGGCAACAATATAAATCCCTTGATTCCTTCTCTGTCCCGTTCTTATCACATCCTTCTTATTTCTTGATTTTATAACTGCCATAGACTGGACAGAAAAAGATTTTCATATTATAGCACTGTAAATCTTCCTTTCTTTGAAGGAATAAATTGAATAGCTGATTAATTTAATGAACCCTTTCTAGTTTAGATCATTGCCCCAGGAAAGCAGCACTTGCAGTTTTCTATCTCATTCTTCTAAAAGACCAGAATATCTCTGATTCTGTGTTTTCTGTCTGTCTTCATATTGGCAGTGTTAGTGCTGTCAGCAGACACAAACATCTTCATTTGATATTCTTATTTAACCCATTCAAAATTCCTGATAAACCATGAGTTATCTTGGGATTTGTGGTATTAATTTATGAAACCTGTGAGAATTCATGGAATGCAAAACTTCTGATTTTACCTGGGCTGGAAAGGTAAAAGATGTCTGTTGGAAATGATCCAAGGCACAATGACATCAGTGGGAATCTTCCCACAGACATCAAGAGCCTGTAAAGCACCAGCACAGGTGCTGTGACTGAGGAAGAAGAAAGTTGGGAGATGCTTGTTCTGGCCATAAAAACTTTGTGGTGCTAAATTCAGTTTATTAGACAACACTTGTGTGTTGAAATACTTAATTCCCTAAAGCATCATTTTTCTCTTCAACTTATGACTCGTTACAATAAAGTGCAATACAAAATGCCACCTGCCAAATTCTTCCCTTGTTTATGTGTTCATAAGAGAGCAGTGAACAAAATTCTCCTTGCACTTCATTGGTCTGAGAAGGTAACTCCATGTCACTCTGTTGAAGGATTACTGGGGGAAAGCCCCAAACATTTTATGAGAGACAAAGGACCTGTGGATTTCAGCTCAGCTGCATATAAATATCAGTGAAGGCAGGATTGAGTCCTTATTATTTCCTGTCCACTGCATTTCTCCCATTTTGTCATGGCAGCTGTGTAGATGGAAACTCCCAAGATTTCTACAGCCAAGTCATCCTTCACCAATAAAGCCATACTGACTCACATAATAGATTAGGCTGTCACACTAAACCTGACAAACAACATTTAATATGTCTCAAATTGCATCCAGGCAGATATCCCTGTAAATGACCATCCCTACCACGCAGATGTTTCCCATCTCTTCGGAACAGCTCTGATGGTCAGGCCAAGCTTGAGGCTCTCCTGCTCTTACCCATACTTTTTTTACCTTTAGCTTGCAAAAATGGAGCTTTTGCACAATGCAGGGCTGGTATCAGCAGTTCTGTATTTTGTTTTTGTCTTCTAACTATTCTTTTAACTCGCTTCAGCCTCAGGCTGGTTTGGGTTTTTTTCAGACAAGCTCTCCCCAGTCTGCCTCCTTCCCAGACTGTTTATGTTTGAAAGACATTTGCTGGTGCTAATCCTCACATCCTCACTTATTCCCATTGGCCTTTCTTGTCCTTTTTTCCCATTGGGTTGAGTTTCAGTTGTATCATCTCCAATTGTTGCTTAACTTCTTCCAGCTCTGTGCAGTCAGCTTTCTGATGCACCATAGGGCTCTAAATTGAAATTTCTCTGGGCAGTTCATATTTCCTTAAATTTCCATAAGGTGAAAATCTTTTGGGACTCTTGCACTGGGTAATATTTCAGATGCAAGGATAACCCTGTCCCAGCTGTGCAGTGTGAGAGGAGTGATCAATGAGATGGATGCAGCACAGACAGGCTTTCTTGGTTATTCATCAGTGTATCTGATTGACCTGTGTGACAAATAAACCCTTGTGCAAATGCAGGTGTTTCCCTACCTGGCAGGAATCCCAGAGGGCTGCTGACCAAGCTGCTGTATAGAATTTGGTGGCGGCCAGAACTTCTCAGCACAGCAGCACCTTTGATTACCATGTGAGGACCTTTAGCTGTTTGCTAGAGGCCAGCTGCTGGAAAACATGTTAGCCAGCACATTAACTCATGTTTTACTCAATTCACTTGCTCCAGTAGGTCCTAGTGAACATTTTTATTAATCCTTAGGTATTAAGACTAAACCAGTTCAGATTTTGGTGATGCTACCCCCAAAGAAGTCAGTGGCAAAAATCCAGCTGAAGTCAGGTGGGTGCAGGAAGAGCATTGACATGAGCCAAGATATTCACAGTCAGAACTTGAGCTGTGACTTTCCAGAGCCTGATGTTTGGATGGAGAGTGCAGCCACAATGTGAGCAGATGCTCTGTCCTTCTTAGCCTCCCATTTCCTCCCTCTTGCTGCTACGTGCCAGAGATTCACAGAGATCTCTCAAAGGCAGAGCTTTGTTTCTTCATCCACTTTCCGGTGTTGTGCTCTACTTGTTTCTTTCAATTTGTCCTTAAAAAAAAAAAAAAAAAAGTAAAACTAGTTCTTTGAGACTACAGGGAGGAAAAAAAAAATTCTCTGGAGTTTCTTCAGCATCTTGGCTACCAACACAGCAAGCACTGTCATTATGGTTAGAAACAAAGGACACGGCATTGCTTCCAGCAAAATCACCACTTACTTCAGTGTGGGTGAGATTAGGCCAGGAAAAACCCCAACTGAGTTTAATAGAGGAGAAACTGACTTTGGCTGAAACAATAAGCTGTGCTCCAGACCTGCAGTGAGAGCCTTAGATCCAAGTCTCAAGGAGGTACTGCCTTTCCTCTAGTACCTTCCCCCAGGGGTTCTGCTCATTATTCCACCAAGTCTAACAATCCCTCTTTCCCACTCTCACAAGCCAGGTCCTTTGTCCATCCTCATTCAGATCCCCCCTTAGCTGAAATGGAGGAGTGCATGTCGTTCAGATAAGCACAAACTGTAATTAGGTCTTATTCTGAGTAAATAATATGTGGGTGGGAAAAGGAAGGAAGGGCGAGGGAGAGGGAGCAAATGGAAGAAAGAGGCAGGGGTTTGGCTGGGTTACAGAATTGCAGCAGGCTTCTTATAAGTCTCAAGCTAAAAATGGGAGATATTTGCATAAAAAAGAGCTTTAATAGGTGCTATAAATTGGCATTTTTGGTGATTAGATAGACAGGTGTTTATCATTTTAGTAACTGCTAGAGCTGAAACTGTATAGTACCCATTGTGTTCCAAGTCTCAGTTCCAAGGGGCAGGAGGTTTGTGCTGTGGTGGGGTGTGAGGGCAGCCCAGAGCTGCTCCCACTCTGGCCTCAGGAATCCTGATGCCTATAGGGAGCACCTTCCCTTCACAGGAATAAAGGGCAGCCACACGTTGTGTACAGTGCCTTTGGCAGCTGCAGCCCAAACCAGAATGGTGCCCTACCACAGCCCCCAGGCAAGCTGGTCCCAGGGTGGGAGAGGCAGTGAGGACCTTGTCCCCCCTAACCAGGACCTCTGCCCCAGTCAGCAGCAGACCCACATTTTCCTCGTTATCCTTTTACAGATTAATTATTTGCTATTTAACTGATGAGTTTAGCAACACCTGGGAAAAGGGTTTCCTTCACGTGGGAAAATGAGACTTTTCTTGCAAGGTCAAAAACGGAAAGCCTTATGAATTGTTTTGGCTGAAAATTTGCCAAGAAACACAAGATAATTCACTTTTTTGTACCATGTTTGTTTACTTTGTGATGAAATAACAAAAAAGTTTTACGAAAGCAGACTCTTTCCTAGAAAATCAATGTTCTCACTTGACAAAGGCTTAATGGAAAAAATGCAGGTTGCTCTAGGGATTTGCTTGGGAGCTTGTCCTTTAGAGAAGTGGTGAAGGCCAGTCCTTGGTTAGAGAGGAAAGTGCCACATCCCTCTGCAGCGTGGGGCTGTCTGCAGCCCTTTTTCTGCAGCTCAAAGGAAATCCTGGTGTGTCTAAAGACCTCAGAGGAGGCTGTGGGACAGATACACCCAAAGTAAAGGCTGCCTCAAGATGAGATTATGGTCAATCCCCACATGTTTCTTGTCAGTAGAACAGCTTTTGTTCTGCTTAAATTCCAAATATGAGATTTTGGCTTCCACTGGAAATCGACATGTTACTAAGGCTATTGAATTGTACATGATCAGCTGTGGGCCCCAGATCCAGTCTGATGATATTGATGTCTAGTTTCCGCTGGCTGAATTGGCTGCACATGTCAGCTTCGTGTGTTCTGCTTTCCAAGCTCAGTGCTTGCCGAAATTTTACTTCTCTTGAAACATTTTCATTGGTGCAATGAATGGAAAAAGTTTACCAGCATGCGCTGTCTGTAAATCTTCACTGTTCTTTCTGAAGGGATAGACAGTTTTCCTTACAGGAGTTTATTTTCAGTAGGATTCTGTTCCAGGAGTGTTACGTAACACTTACAGAATTTGAGAAGAGAACAATCCCAGAAAACATATTGCAGATGTACCTATATACACATTTATGTGCACACTGTTTGGATCTGCTCCTATACCTGCACAACCCAAGGGAGGCCACAGAACCCTCACAGCAGGACCTTGCTTGGTTGCTGTGGCCACCTCACCTACCCCCTTCCCGAAACTCCTTCCAGGAGTCAAAAAGAAAAATCTGGAATAAGGCAGCTGGGTGTTGTCACCTTGTGTCCTGCTGTCCCGTTTGATTTCAGTGGCACCTCTGTCCCAGGCACTGTGGGGGCTGTTGGCTGCCCTCAGGTCACTGAGGCATGGGGGATATTTCTCTGGAAAAGAGAAGTCGACCCCCTTGGCTAATTCCTGTGTAGTGATGTCCTTTTGACATCAGACACCACTGGAACAGCCTTGAGCAGCAGAAGCTGGGACTCTGGAGACTCAGCTTTCCTGTCCAGCCATGTACACAAGTGCTCCGTGTTTGCCATGGAAGAATATATCTTGGAGGTGTTTTTTAATAGATCAGTGGTTTTGTGACACTCAAATCTTATTTTGAATTATGATCTAATCAAAACTTTTGAGAGGGTGTAAATGTGCTTCTTTACCATTGGAGGATATTTCCTCCTACCCACAATGATTTCATTTATAATGTGTGGAAATTTTTATGTGACTGTGAAGTAGAGAACAGAGATTGCTGAGGATGCAGGAACCATGGAAGGGTTAAAAAACCAAAGCCTTGTTGGAGAATCTAGTGTGTTCTTTTGAGAGGGGGAGGGAACCAAGAGTAAAATTTAATTTATTTCACACAGGCAGACTCAAGACAATAGAATTCCCTCTGTTTTCATCTGCAAAACCAATAGACAGACCAAAAAAGGAACAGAGGTGAAGGGTTATGGAACTAATATTTTTCTACCTTCTGTGACTGTCTTCAGGATTTCTTGTTATCTGCAGATATTGCTTTCAGCACAGTGACCTTTGAATAAACAGGATTGTGGTGTCCTGAAAGAAGAAAAATAAAAAGCACAGACGAATTTCAAAAATCCTGTGAGGTCTGTGACTTCTTTTCCAGCTAAACTGGATACTCAGAGTAAACTTCAAATATTAAAATAGTAATCCATTAAGATCTAGAGAAGACCCACAAGAGTGTCCTTGCTTTAACTACTAATCTGCTCCTACTTAATTCCATATGGGAAGAGTAATTTAATTGGTGACCTTCTTGGGTGATTTTAAGAGTAAAAAATAAACTTACAGCATATTTAGCAAATAGAGCCATGCCAGAGTGGGGACGGAAGAAACAGAAAAACTTTTCAGAGTCTGTATAGTTGTTGGAAAGTTTTACCCAACTTTTTCTTCTCTAAACATAAATATAGCCAACATTTTACTGCTGAAACTAATAATTTATGAAACTTCTCATGAAGGCTGGAAGAACTGCCTTTCCCATTTATGGCATAGAGCTTGTGGTTCATATTCTTCAAATCCGTCAGTCAAAAGAAGGGAAAATATCTATGCATCTGCACATCCCATTATATCCTAACCTCTGGATGCAGAAATAGCATCTGAGCAGTGAAAAGCTGCTAAAGCCATCGATGAAAGCCTGTTATGGCTTGTTAGGAACTCTACCTGCCTGCCTTGCTCTAGTTTTTCATTCTTTCCACATGAGCAGCTTTCAGAAGGATCTCTGAGTGCAGATCCCACTACAGTAAACTGCATTGTTTCCTGTTCCAGGCACACTTTCACATTACTCACCAACTTTCCAACTGCCAGACAAACTTTGTTATAGTTTTTCTACTTCCCTTGGAATATGGCATTTGAGGCTCTTTTCAGGGCTGCTCTACATAATATGCAGTGACTAGATACAAAACTATTTCCTTATAACATGAACCAAGCAAACACAAATTTAAGGCAAATTATGCTGAACCCTGGGCCTCAAGCCAGTCTTTTTGTATTATCTCATGGGAAGTTCTGATCTGAAACTAATACTGGCAATAGGGAGAACTTCTCCTGAGATGGAAATTTGCTTTCTATCAAGCCACAGTGGTATCAAAACCACCTGGAAAAGAGGCAGGGAACATCTCCTTTGGAGCTGGGTCTGACAGCAAAGCTCATGACCTCAGCACGGACTATGAGTGGTTTATGCAGAGTGCAGAGAGGCTTGGGAGGGAGGGCAAACATTTTTCACTTCATGTATCATTGCTCATAGCTCACTGCTGGGATTCTACCGAGTCAGCCAGAACTAAAATATTGTGGAAAATGAAATTTCCTGGGTTACCGTTTTTGGCAGTTCTAATCACACTGGGCAGTTGGACACTGGAACCAACACAAAAGCTCCTCACCTTAATGAGAAAAAGACATGCTTTGTAGTGTGCGCTGGTAACTAAGGAAAAAAAAAAAAAACAACTTTATCCTTCCAAAACTGAAGCAGATGCTGAATATTTTCAACATCCAAAATAGTCTTTGCATCTGCATGTAAAGTAACATGAGTCTGTGCAATCAGAAAACGCATCACCTGCAGATTTCTGAGGAGGATCCTACCTCATGTGTTCCTTTGCCATAGCTGCTCTTTACAACAGCCTAATCAAGTGGAGCTGAATGGCAACCAAAGCAGAGAAGTAATTAGGGGGCTGGAAATGGAAAGAAAATTAGCCAGGAAAAATTAGTTACTCTCCCACCTTCAGTGTTCAGGAATGACAGACCTCTGTGTTTCAGCTTCAAGCTAGAGAACTACAACTGCTCCATCTCTCCTGTAGCAGTGTCCAGACAGTGTGTCAGAGTCACAGAGCTAAAAAAATTCACAGCCCAGGCTGATGCTGGGTTCAAAATTGGTATAAAATTGTTTAAAACTACGTCTCGTTGGTGACTTTGGGTCAGAGCAGGGTTTGCCTGTGTAACTGAAGTGTCCCGTCCATGAAGAATTGTGTATTGCCCTGTTCCCTGTGGTACCCACCCCACACTGCCAGCTTGCTCTGCCCTGCTGCCTCTAGAAGGGGAGGATGCTCCTGGTGCTCAAGCAGTGCTGTGTGGGGATGTAGGGATGCTGTAGGGGTCATGTAGGGGTTGTGTAGGGGTGGTGCAGGTGTGCACATCACTCCTGTGCTGAGGAAATCCCAAAAGCACCTGTAAACTCTGTGACTGAACATTTCTCTTTTCAAGCAAGCACAGTTGCTTGAAAATAAAAATACAAACGCTTGCTTGGAGTGATCAGCCTCTTATCACACCCTTCATTTATCCCCATAGACTGAGGATGCCCTTGAAGCAGCCCCTTGTCCCAGGCTGTCCCATATCCCAGCCTGTCCCGTGTCCCAGACTCTCCTGTGTCCCAGACTCTCCTGTGTCCCAGACTCTCTCATGTCCCTGGCTGTCCCATACCCCCAGCTGTCCCGTGTCCCGTCTCCCAGGCTGTCCCATGTCATATCCCAAGCTGTCCCCTGTCCCCGGCTGTCCCCTGTCCCGGCTGTCCCGTGTCGCAGCTCGGTGCAGCGAGGGCGGCTGTCGGAAGGCGGCAGCGCGCTCCGCTCCCCGAGCTCCGCTCTCCGCGCTCCGCGCTCCGCGCTCCGAGCTCCGCGCTCCGCGCTCCGCGCTCCGCTCCCCGAGCTCCGCGCTCCGAGCTCCGCGCTCCGCTCCCCGAGCTCCGCGCTCCGAGCTCCGCGCTCCGCTCCCCGAGCTCCGCTCCCCGAGCTCCGCGCCCCGAGCTCCGCGCCCCGAGCTCCGCGCCCCGAGCTCCGCTCTCCGCTCTCCGCGCTCCTCTCTCCGCGCTCCTGCCCACGGCCGGGGCAGCGCTCCCGGGAGGGGCTCGGCCGCCCTGCGCAGCTGGAGCCGCCCCGGCCGTTCCTCATCTCATCGGGACTGCGCCCAAGGAACTCGCTCCGGGGTTATTTGCAGCACTCGAGGGCCCTCAGAGCTGTGTAAGATTGCGAGTAAGGATCTCCGTGTGACATTTCTGCACAGTGACTCACGTTTGGACTGGTTTCAAATCAATAAATCCTCCTCAGAATGAGCCCCCCGATTCAAGCTGAAGACACATTCATCCTGTTACTTAGGAGCACCCATGGCTTCACAATAGAATTAAAATCCCGAGTTTGGGATGGATCAAAGTGGTGAAGGGAATGGGAACAGTTGCCTCATGGTGGACTGCTGTGATGATGCCCATGTACAGAAAAAGGTTCTCTCAGAGGAAGGACTGGGATCATTTGGATCTGAGCTGAGCAGCCATTTTAGGTTTCTTAGTAAAAATATTAATATCCATAATATTAATAATATGCTAAATAAAACCCTTCTGTTGGATATTACTGATGTGGAGACTGAATTTTCCATTAATAGAAAGTTGGAAATTTTGCAGATATTTGCTTTGAAGCTCCAAGTCTGAGAGGGATGACCTGGTTATTTAATATTTTCATTGCCATTCCATCTCCTCCCATAAAATTGGCTAAAGAAGTGTAGTTTCTTCCATACCCAGAACAGTGCAGGGGTCACCAGATACTATTCTGTCGAGAAATGGAAAATGCCACCATTGTTGACTGAGCAATGAATGTTGAGCAGGAGCTGGTAGTAGATGGCCAAGATATTTGAAAAAAGTTTTACATAAAAAAAACCCAGACTTTACAAATTGTCATTGAGAGAGAGCACAGGGGTACTGTCTGTACAGAATGTTACGTCGATTAATATTTCAAAAATGTTTTCTAGAACCTTTTCTCTTTTAAATTTTTTTTTCCAAATAATTGCAACAGTAATTCTAAAAAAAAACCCTCTTCAAACACAGAATCATTTCTGTTGTTGTAGAATTTTTTGAATGCCAAATACCTGCTGAGTTAATCTTTGGAAGAACAAGAAAAGTTTGTTCTTTGTATATGTAGATTGTTTCAGGGTATTGTTTGATTTTGCTTTTGATAGGGGTCATGTTTCTGGGCTTAGCTGGATAGTTTGTTTGTTCCTATTCATTAAAAGGGACCCTGCAGCTATTTGGGGAGGGAGTATGGTATTACATTATTATTGCTCCAAAAAGTATGGACAAAAATGTATTGTAAAAATTCCAAGGTTTCTGGTAGGAGTTCTCTCAGTAATAAATAGTCCCAGTCTGCTGGAGTGTGGTTAATATGCTAACATTGTATTGTGCTAATTAGATAGGTCCTTAAGGTACAGAGCTAAAGTATATGGATAATTCTGGACATAAACTATTGATAAAACAGTTTTGTGCAATAGTAAAGGGGAACAACTTTCAGGGTCAGCTTTGCCTTTGGTCACCTTGTCCCATAGCCCCTGTCACAGCACTGCACAGAACAGAGCTCATGATGCTGCAGGAGCAAGTAATGGATGCTGCTCAGAGTTATTCACAGCCTGGGGCAGGAGGCAGAGCCCTCAGATGAGATTAGCACTGCAGAAACCAACACTTCTTGTACGACATTCACTTAACTTGTTCTGGTTGGCATCAGGGGTGTGGAGCACCTTGCAGCAGTGTGCTTGATGGGCTTCACTTCTGTAAAAAAGAGAGTAAGTGCAATGACCTGTTCTCTCCCTTAAGCTCTGTGGTTTGCCTGCAGTGTGGCATTGACTGAAAGAGCTCCACTTGCAGAGGAAAAGCACTGGGCTGACTCTTCCAGAGAAAGCGTCTGTGCTCTTGATTCACTGTGTCCTCCCAGAACAGAGTCCAGGGATTCCTTTTTCCTGGGAAAAACAGCAATTGTCAAGGAATTATTCCAAGAAAGACAGTTTATGCTGGAGTTACTAATCCATAGCAAATTCTTCTTGCTCACCTTCTGGTCAAAGCCTCACATTTGCAATGTTTCACCTGTTCAGAGAAATTTCACTCCACCAGTCCTCAGCTGGCCCTGCAGAGCCTGTGGGGCATTGCCAGAGCTGTCACTGGCCACGGTGCTTTTCCAGGGGTCAGCTTTAATCCTTCCCTCCTCAGAGGAGAGGGCAACCTGCAGACTCTTTTCCCTTGGCTTTGTCTGACTTTACTCTCTGTAACTATTTAGTCATTCATAGGATTATTCCACACTGCCAAAGACATGTTTCCCTTGCCACAGACTAACTTTTCCATTTAAAAATCTGAAGATATTTCAGCTTTGCTATAATGCAGAGCAATGACAGCAAAATAGTATCTGACCTCCTACAAAGTGCTCAGGAAACAGGGAGGGTGCCTGAGATTATTCAGTGCAGGAGCTGCATTCCACTGGGCAGATAAAAACAACTGCCCACAAGCTCTGATCAGAGTGTTTGTGTTTCTCATTAGAGAAATACTTATGCCCCATGATTTTGGTTTTTTTTTTAAACTGTGTCCACAGTCACTAGGAAGAAAGTAAAAAAGAGACCACAGAACCAGTTCTTTTTAGGTACCTGTACTTTTATTTTGCAGCCCACCTGGCTGATGGTACTGAATGTAAATACAGCTGACATAGGCAATGTTTCATCACCACCCTCATCACCAGGAATTCTGTGGCCAGGGATAACAACATCCTGCCAGCACAATACCAGGGAGAAGTGATGAAGCAAACCCAGCACAACTGGGTCAAATAAATCCTTTCTGCTGAGTAATGTCTGTGCTTCAGGTCGATAAGTCTTGGCTTTCATGTCATTTGGAATTTTTAATTAAAACCCTGTGGCTTCCGAGTGTTCATTAATATCTTCCCTTCATGGTTCTGACCCACATGACTCATTCCCCACCCTTGTGCACTCTAACTCTAACTGTGAGCCCTGCTCAGATGTAACACCTTCCTCCTGGTGTTCTGGCAGCCTGAAGCCAAGGACACTCCAGCTTCAAAGGTGGAATAACATTTGTGTCACTTTCTCAAGTAACACTGGAAAAAGGGTCATATGTTCAAAACTGTAAAGTCTCTTCTAATTCTTTAATTTTGAGGGGTTAATTCACATTCTGAAATCCAATATTTTGGTATTTTTTCTACTTTTGAGTTTTGCTTCTCCCCTCCCACTGATTTTTTTTTCCTGACTACAAAGGAAGGCTGAGTGTAAGGTATTTTGTAGTTCCTTTCCCTTTTCAGTGCCACTCTAACCTCTGTCACTTCAAAAACTCTGTAGTTAGAGAGCAAAAAAAGGAAAAATGAAGATGAGAGAATTTAAAGCAAACACAAAACTTTTCAAAAGCAAAGAAAAATATTTTTACTGTTTACTGTCAGCAGAATCTTGTCTTCTCTTCCTTTTCCTCTTGTATCTACAATAAAACCAGACCTCACCACAGATTAAAGTCTCAACCTTGCAGTCTGACACCTTTTAGTGTCTTCCAGTGCTTAGATAAGATTTTAATACTGGATGTACAGTTAGCATATTAAGGATTATCATTACCAAGCATTATGGTAACTCTGGTTTCATTACTGAGTGATGCTCAACATTCCATTTAAAAGCCATTGACAGCACCACATTTCCAACTTCAATGGCCCATACTTGTAATTCCAATTATTTCCCTTTGAGAGCGTGTATGAGCAAATTGCACCAAGGCCATCAGTCTGACCAGTGGTAAAATTCACTCAGTTTTCCACTGAGTCTGGACATTTTGACAAATATCTTCCATTTAAACTAGTGAAAAAACAGCTTTTTACTGCCTATGACCAACTGAAAATCAGCATCTACTCACAGACTATGAAGGCAGTTAACCACTGACACAACCTCTCAGAGTTGTTGCTGCAAGACCAGATGCTCTCCTGAAAGCACAGCTTAAGTAGAAATGCTGCAGAAAGCCCTTGGTGAAATGCTGTGCCTTGTTTAATGCACTCAGACTCCCTGATTGTGCCACTTCTGCCCATCAGCATCAGCCAGGGGAGGCCTCCTGAGCTCCCTTCAGGAGCTGGGCAGGATGTGCTGAGCAGATGTGAGGAATAACAAACTAGCAGAAGATGAAATAAAACAGATTCTGGTAGCAGAACAGACTTTAAACTGAAAGGCTAATTAAAATAAGCATATATATATATATGTATTAAAAAATGTGTGATATCTCTTGTTACATCCAGATCTCTTATTTTTATCCAGTCCTAGATGTCAATGGGGCTGGGCTGTGCCAAACAGTGTGAGCTCAGAGACTGCAGATTATTTTTCAGTCTGTTACATGATGAAGTACTAAACTTTGGAATAATTTGCCTTATTGCTGGCAAAACCCCCTTCATTTTGTCTACAGCTAAAACATGTGAGTTGGTACCTTTTGTCAATTCACAGATTTCCAAGATACCCAAATTCTCCCATTTACCTTGCTCTGCAATTCACGTCATGCTGTTCTCTGCATGGGATGCAAAGATTTTGATCCATGCCACATGCTGCACATCTTCCCAATGAAGCAAAACCCCTCCCGTGCTGGCTGGTACCCTGCT